TTAAACTCTGAGATCCATCTGAGTTCCAGGCTAGCCTGGTCTATAGGCAGGATTGTGAGAGATGGCTCAGTGGTTAGGAGCACTGGCAGTTCTTCCAGAGGACCCAGGTTCAATTCCCAGCACCCACTTGGCAGCTCACAGCTGTCTGTAACTCCAGTTTCAAGGGATCTAACACCTTCTTACAGGCAAAACTTCAATGTGCATGAAATAAAAATAAATAAATCATTATAAAAAAAAGCAAAAAAAAAAAAAAAAAGGCAAAAGCTCAGAGATCCACCTGCCTCTGTCTTTGCCTCTTTAGTGCTGGTATAAAAAATGTGCACCACCAAGTTGGCCCTTAAGTGGCTCTTGAAGAGGGTGGATGACCCCAAGAAAGTCACATTCTCATAAACACAGAGTGGCAGTATAGTATGGCAGATAAAACTGCAGCCTCTGGAGTCAAATAACACTGGGCTCAAATCTGAGACATGTAACCTTGTGTAACTTACTTAACCTCTCTGAGCCTTTGGAAATGGAAATGTAGGTGCCAAAGTATTTGCCTTTTTCCTTTAGGGGAAATGAGGGTCTACCTCATACTTATGGTGTTAAGTATATTTCCTTTTTTGTTCATGTGGTCCTGAGAATTGAATTCAGGGTTTTGTGTATGATAGGCAAGGGCTTTAGCACTGAGATGTATCTCCAGCCCCTTTCTTCTTCACCATCATCATTAGTAGTAGTTAAAAATAACTTGTTCATTATGTTTATATGCATGAGTTATGTGTCCAGGTGCTCCAGTGCCACTGTGTCCAGGAGCTGGCTCGCACATGTGTGGAGGTCAGAGCTTGTGGGACTCGGTTCTCTCTTCCCCCATGTGGGTTCTGGTGATCAAACTCGGGTTGTCAGGTTGGGCAGCAAGCACCTTACTCTCTGAACCATATTGCTGACCCTATTTTGGTTTGTTTGGTTTTCTAAAATTTTATTTATTTTTTAATATGTGTATATGTTTGTGCCTGCCTGAGTTAGCATGTACTATGCAGGTGCCTAAGAATGCCAGAAGTCATTGGAACTCTTGGAACTGAAGTTACAGTCAGTGATAAAATACCTGATGTGAGCCAGGCGGTGGTGGCAAACTCCTTAGGAGGCAGAGGCAGGCGGATCCCTGAGTTCAAGGCCAGCCTGGTCTACAGAGTGAGTTCAGGACAGCCAAAGCTATAGAGAAACCCTGTCTCGAAACAACAACAACAAGAAGAAAATGCCTGATGTGGTAGTCAGGTGGTGGTGACACACACCTTTAGCACGTGGGAGGCAGAGGCAGGCAGATCTGTATGAGTTCTAGGCCAGCCTGGTCTACAGAGTGAGTTCTAGGACAGTCAAGGCTACACAGAGAAACCCTGTCTCAAAAACAAAACAAAATAAAATAAAATAAAAATGCCTGGTGTGGGTGTTGAAAACTGAACCCGGGCCCTCTGCAAATCTAGCTTTTTTGGTGGGACAGGGTCTCATGTAGTCCAGACTGACCTCAAATTGTCTACGATAATGTATGACATCAAACCTGGCCTCTTTTTAAACTTGGGGATGTTTTTGTGGGGTTTTGTTTTTGTTTATTTTCTTGAGACAGGGTCTCTTTATGTAGTGCTGGCTGGCCTGGAACTCAATATCTAGATCAGGATGGCTTCAAACTCACAGAGAATCCACTTGCCTCTGCCTTTCAAGTGCTGGAATTAAAAACAATCACCACCATGGCTGGTCACTTGTAAAATTTTGAGACAAGGTTTTACTAAGTTGCTCAGGCCATCCTCGAATCTGAGATCCTCTAGAGTCAGCCTCTCAAATGCTGGGATTGCATGCCTGACCCAACAGTATGGGATTAAACATATTAAGTAAAGTCATGTATGGAAAGTGCAGCAGTATCAGACATGCAGGAAGCATTTAATAATACTTGCCACTACATTTCATATATCTGTGTGTGACACACGGGCGTCTTGTGTCATTTCCTCTTAGTGGAAACATTCTCTCTTAGAGGGAGGAGGGGGATTTCTAAGATTCAAGAGAAAGACAGGAGATGTGGTGCAGGCCTTTAATCCCACCAGAGGTAGATGCTAACAGTTGGTTATCTTTGGATCTAAATTAATGTCCTAAGCCCAGAACAAAGGATAGAGAAAAGAATTCTTCCTGTTCCTCTTCACTGCTGACTGAGTCATCTAATCTAGTCTATTCTTGTTTCAGTTGGGGATTTACACTTTTGGCTTTCCTGGTGCTTAGGCCTTTGTCTTCAGATGGAATTACAATACCAGCTTTTCTGGGTCTCCATTTTGCAGATACAGACAGAGACCTTGGGTCTTCCCAGCCTCTGTAATCTCATGTGTCAATTCAGCATCCTACCTGTCTATATCTATAAATAATCTACCTATCCATCTACATACCCAACTACTATTGGTGCTGTTTCTTTGCAAGCCTGACTATTACTGAGTCTATTCAGAAACCAAATAACAACCAGAAATGTGCCCAGTGAGTATGGAATAAAAGCTTAAATAACATGGACTCTTTTTTTTTTTTTTTTTTAGATTTTATTTATTTATTATGTAGACAACATTCTGCTTCCATGTATATCTGCACACCAGAAGAGGGCACCAGATCTCATAAGGGATGGTTGTGAGCCACCATGTGGTTGCTGGGAATTGAACTCAGGACCTCTGGAAGAGCAGTCAGTGCTCTTAACCTCTGAGCCATCTCTCCAGCCCTAACATGGACTCTTGAGCAGGAAGCAGAAAGAGCTCTGAGAAAAAGCTCTCCTGTCAGGGCCCACAGAAATGGCTCTGCTACATCTGGACTTAGGGTCAGAGAATTAGAATCCACTATTGCTCTCTCAAGGTGAAACAACAGGACACTTGGCCTAAGGTGTGGTCACTGCATGTCCTGCCTAAACAACAAAATACTTCACTCAGGAGATAGTTACTTGATGTTTTGAGTACTGAGAAGGTGATTATGCTTGCTTGTTCTTTTTATCTTGGTAAGGAAGTCTTTTGCCTTCTCCCCCTCTTTTGATGGGGGTATAAAAGACTTTGCACAATAAATACGGGTGGTTCAATACTTACTGGATGCCCTCCTGGCACTATCTCTTGTCTCTTGTCTATTCCTTCCCTTAATTCACACTCCCCTCTCATGTACAGACAGAGGTAAGACACTCCCAACTGAGTTGATGACTGACTTACTTCATCATGAGCTATGAAACTCTTGGCAAACACACACAACTCCTGTAGGAAGCAAAAGAAAGTTGTCAGGCTGGGTGGTGGCACACGCCTTTAATCCTAACACTTAGGAGGCAGAGATAGGCGAATCTCTGAGTTTGAGGCCAGCCTGGTCTACAGAGTGAGTTCCAGGACAGCCAAGTCTACACAGAGAAACAAAACAAAACAAAAACAACTTTATGTGTATATGTGTTTGTGAGTGTATGCACAAGTGTTTGTAGGGCTGTACACACCGGCAGGCATGTGACAGTCAGAAGAGGGTGTTGAATCCTTTGAAGCTGAAGTTACAGGCATTTGCAGATGCTAGGCTTGTTTCATGGGTGCTGGGACCCAAACTTCGGTTGGGTCCTCAAAATTTTGAAGCAATCCTGAGCCATCTCTCTAGTCTTATTTGGTTTTTCTATGCTATACACATATATTAAAATATCCTAAGTCTCAGATTTCATTTAAGTCTTTACATTTTGTGTGTGTGTGCTTGAGTACCATGGCAACACGGCAGTCACAAGACATAGGAGCGGGTTCCCTCCTTCCAGTCTGTGAGTTCTGAGGACTGAACTCAAGTCAGCGGCGCAGCTGCAAGCACTTTTACTCACTAAGCAATTTAGCCAGACTGTGTTTTGTTTTGAGAGAGGGTCTTAAACTTGCTTTTTAAGTGGGGATGAGCTTGAACTTGTGATCCTCTTGTCTCCCATCTCTTATGTGCTGAGATTACAGGCAACCACCACATCCAGCTTCTGACAACTATTTTAGAGACATTTTATTGCTATTCTGTTGCTCTGTGGAGGGTTGACGATTATTTACAAAAGTTTGTCATTGTAGTCTGTTAATTATATTGACTTTCCCATAAACAACTATACTAAAACAAAAACAAACAAACAAACAAACAAAAAATGGGTATTTTGGCTGCATTATGTCTGTGTAACACAAGTGGTCCTAGTGCTTGCAGAGGCCAGAAGAGGGTGCTAGGTCCTCTGGAAATGGAGTTACAGACAATTGTGAGTTGCCATGTGGGTGCTGGAAATCAGACCCCTGTGGTGATATTTTTGTTTGTGATCTAACAAATAAAACTTGCCTGAAGATCAGAGCACAAAGCTAGCCACAGCCATAGAGACCAGACAGTAGTGGTACTGTAAGATGGGAGGAGATGGGAGCAGTGGGATGTTTGGTGAAGAGCATTTGCTAAAAATCCACCGTTCGGACTAGAGAGATGGCTCAGAGGTTAAGAGCACCGACTGCTCTTCCAGAGGTCCTGAGTTCAATTCCCAGCAACCACATGGTGGCTCACAACCATCCCTTATGAGATCTGGTGCCCTCTTCTGGTGTGCAGATATACACGGAAGCAGAATGTTGTCTACATAATAAATAAATAAAATCTTTAAAAAAATCCACCGTTCACGGCAAATTAAGTAGCATTATTAATAATAGTTTTCAGCAAAAATACTTTTGGTGGTGCATGCCTTCAATCACACTCAAGAGGCAGAGTCAGGCGGCTCTTTGTGAGTTCGAGGCCAGTCTGGTCTACATAGTTTATTCTTGAACATCCAGGACTATACAGAGAAATCCTGACTCAAAAAAACAAACAGTACACTATTTAACAAGTTTGGGTGCTCTGTACCCGGAATCCTCGCAAACTTTGAGGAGCTGGCGGGGTAGCAGGTAGTATACGCCAGGCGTCTACACGGAGTTTTAACTGCTATTGGCTGCGGCAAGAAACGATGCCCCCAATCCCCGCCCAGTAACCCAGTAACCCGCCCTCTCCTGGGATCACTTCCGTCACTTCAGTTTCCGGAAGTCCGGCGTGCCCGGGACCTTCGCGCGGGCTGGAACCAAGATGGAGGAGTACGCGAGAGAGCCGTGGTGAGTGCCGCAGCCTCCCTTGTTGCCCCTTACCCCCCTCCGCCTGCCGCGGTCGGAGTCCCAGGTGCAAGCAGAGCTCCTCGCGGCTCGGCGCCGGGAGCTGGGCAGCTGTGGGTGGTGCGGGCGAGAGTGACCCGGTGGCTTTTCCGCGCTGTGTGCCCGGACCCAGCACCCCGGTGACCTTGTGCCTAGCGAGGAGGTCCAGTGCTGGGCTTCGTGGAGCTTTGGAACCTCCTCCCTATGGCGGGTGCTATCGATCTGGTGCGGGGGTAATAGTGATCCTCTTTGCCCGCTGAGGTGACCTTGGACATGTCCCTAGGCCTTGCTTTGCTCAAGTTTCCACGTCCACGAAGGGAATGTAGATCTCTTAGTGACATACTCGAGGCCTTATTTGTATGGTAATAAGGCCCCCATGAAGAAGCATTTCAAAACAGTAGGCCATATATTTCAACCAGTGTCCAAGGGGTCTGGATAAGCTCCTTGTAGGCTGGAGCGGCATTTCCTGCGTGGAATTCCTGAAGAAAAAGGGACATAAGTGACCATCTGGAAAATAGTAAAAGATGAGCTGCATGTGTTCCCAGAAAAGTCATACACAGAAATAAATTCATTCAGTAAGCGTTTATTAAGTGAGGGCTCTGTGCTTGGCTCAGTGTCCAAACATGAGTAAATCAGGCAAAGCAAAATAGCTGTAAATTGGTGAAATAGCTATTGAATCTCAAGTTGTCAAGGTAAAGCCTCAAGGGTCACAAGCAAATAAGGAAACCTTGATGTTTGGTTTTGTTCAGATTTTGTTTTGTTTTTATTTATAATGAGAAAGAATCAAGCCGGGCGTTGGTGGTGCACGCCTTTAATCCCAGCACTCGGGAGGCAGGCGGATCTCTGTGAGTTCGAGGCCAGCCTGGTCTTCAGAGCGAGTGCCAGGACAGGCTCCAAAGCTACACAGAGAAACCCTGTCTCGAAAAACAACAACAAAAAAAATTGGTATCCTCCGATTGTGCATCTGCCCAGGACTTTATTATTTAGTGGCAGTCTGTGCTGTCACCCTCAAAGATCGGCTTCTGCCGTGTGTCTTCACTCTTCCTCTAGAGAGGGTTAACAGCACTGTCTAAAACAGTATATGGGTTTAATCATTGTCTTAATACTTCTTTGTATGACTTGTTCTCTCAGAATCCTTTAGACCACATAAATACAGTGGAAAGAGTTTACCAAAGTTTGCTTTTAGTTGGCTGTACTAGTTCCTTATTTGTTTTGGGGCAGGCTACTTAATGTCTGTCTGAGCCTTTGTTCACTGTAAAATTCAGAGGAGATAGTCATAATCTTTTTTTGTCGAGTTAAAAGATTGTGAATTCTAAAGGAAAATGAGTCATTATTCAGATTCTCGTGGGCAATAATGGTAAGTTTAAAAGTGTTCTTGTTCTTGTAGTGATTGTCCATGGGCTAGCTCACTATAGTGCTTGTCTTTTTGTAGGGAGGGACCATAGGTTTGGGGTTAAGATGGGGTTTTGTTGTGTAACATAGGCTGGCCTTTGACTCTTTAGCCTCCTACCTCTTCCTCCCACGTGCTGGGATTGTCAGAATGTGCCACCACTCCTGGTTCTGTGCTTATCTCTTGAGGCTGTCAGATATACTGAGAAATTTCTTTGACTTTGCTAACTTTAGATTTTGTTGTGACATTATTTATAAGCCTGAGTAAGCCTCTATGTGCTTGCCCAATGAGCATATGAACACTATAGAAACAATACTCTTAGTGCTTCACAGAATTCATTTAGATTTGAAACATGGTAGATGATGTGTGCTAAAACTGAAGTAGCAGCTTTTTTATTTGGAAGATGGTGGTGGAAGAATTAATTACAACTCTACTAAGAGTTGGCTGAAACAGAATTTACCCTGTACTGTGTGTGTGGCTGTGTGTGTGGGGGGTGTGTCTGTGTGTGTGTGGGGGGGTGTCTTGTATCTGTGTCTGTGTGTCTGTGTATATGTATATGTGTGCTGTGTATAAATAGGCTTTGTGCGATATACCAAGAAAAACTTACATAAATCTTTACGGTAATACAATTGACTTAACAAGGCTGGAGATGTTGTGTGTCAGGTCCTAGGTTCTATAAAGACCTTTATTAGCCAGATTCCTAGAGTAGGAGTTTTGATCTCTTGATCAAATTACTTATATTTCAGTGTTGTGTGAGTTAGGGTGCAACATTATTAGGTATTAGTCTAGTGTGCTATAAAGTTTAAAATGCTGTTTTGAACTTAGTTATCCTGAAAAGACTTCAGACCTTTTTGTTTGTTTGTTTTCTGTTTTTTGAGGCAGGGTTTCTCTGTGTATCTTTGGAGCCTATCCTGGCAGTCACTCTGTAGACCCGGCTGGCCTGGAACTCACAGAGATCCACCTGCCTCTGCCTCCCGAGTGCTGGGATTAAAGGCGTGCGCCACTAACGCCCAGCTAAAAGATGAGATTGTTAAATCCTTCTGCCTTTGAGGACTTGAGACTGAATAGCTATGGATATGTTTAGTGTCTTTGCCCTTATTTTACAACCTAAAAGTTTATTGGTTGCAGTAGACTCCACACTGGAACCTGTTGCATTCCTTCTTTTATAAAGCAAAGAAAATTTTATGGTTTATATGGTTTATGAATGAGAAATAAGATCCTCTTTCTCCCCTTCCTCCCATTTTTAGCCCCTGGCGGATTGTGGATGACTGTGGTGGTGCCTTTACCATGGGTACCATAGGTGGCGGTATCTTTCAAGCCTTCAAAGGTTTTCGAAATTCTCCAGTGGTGAGTGAATGATTGGTTTCATTTTATCTTCACTAGAAACCAGGGCTGGTTGGTCCCATCGGTGGGTTAGAAATATATTACACTTATAATCGTTTGTTCTGTTTTAATCTATTATTATTATTATTTTTTGTGTGTATGGGCATTTTGCCTGAATGTATGTTTGTGCACTGCTTGTTGCCTAGTGCCCGTGGATCAGATCCCCTGGTACTGGAGTCACAGACAATTGTGAGCTGCCTTGTGGGTGCTGGGAATTAAATCTGGGTCCTCTGGAAGAACAGGAAGTGCTCTTAATCACTGAGCCATTTCTCCATCCCTATTTTATTTTATGTATGTGTGTTGTTTTTTGTTTTGTTTTGTTTTGGCATACATGTATGTCTGGGTACCATGTGCATGCCTGGTGCCCACAGAGGCCAGAAGAAGGCATTGGATCTTTTGGAACTGGTATTATAGACTGTTGAGATTACCATGTAGATGCTGAGAATCAAACCTGGGTTCTCTGGAAGAGCAGCAAGTGCTCCCAACCTCTGAGCCATCTCTCCAATCCCCAATCTATTACATTTTAGATCACTTCCGTTTGTTTTTGTTATAGGGAGTAAACCACAGACTCCGAGGGAGTTTGACAGCTATTAAAACCAGAGCGCCACAATTGGGAGGTAAGAATGTTTTTGTGTATATGGACTTTTTTTGCTTACCTGAACATGAGACTGGCTGTGCCTGTCTGCCTGTCCATCTGCCCTCCCTGCTTCCTTCCCTTTCTTCGTTCATTCCCATACTGAACTCAGACTCAAGGTCTTCTGCCCCAGTGTCCTGTGTGCTAAGATTATAGTTCAGCCAGTAAATTTATTTTTTTTTCTTTTTGGTTTTTCAAGACAGGGTTTCTCTGTGGCTTTGGAGGCTGACCTGGAACTAGTTCTTGTAGACCTGGCTGGTCTTGAACTCACAGAGATCCACCTGCCTCTGTCTCCCGAGTGCTGGGATTAAAGGCGTGCACCACCAACGCCTGGCTCTCAGCATGCTTTCTTACAGAATCCAGGACCACCAGCCCAGGGATGGGACCACCCACAATCACTAATTAAGAAAATGCATTACATCTGAGTCTTATGGAGGCCTTTTTCTCAATTGAGAGTCCCTCCTTTCAGATAACTCTAGCTTGTGCCAAGTTGACATAAGACTAGCCAGCACAACTTTCCTTTTCCAGAAGAAGGACTACGTTCAAAGCTCAGATTTGGAGAGGCAGAAATGGTAGTTTCTAGGATAGCATAATGCTGAAGAGAAATGTGATGTAAAGAACCAGAGAGACCAGTTAAACTGGTTGGGTTCTCCAGTGTTAACATTAAGAATTTTGCAGAAGGGCTGGAGAGGTTAAGAGCACTGACTGCTCTTCCAGAGGACCTGGGTTCAAATCCCAGCACCCACATGACAGCTCACAACTGTCTGTAATCTCAGTTCCAGGGGACCCAACACCCATGGCAAAACACCAATGCACATAAAATAAATTAAAAAAAAAAAAAAGAATTGTGAAGAAACCAGTGCAAAAAATCAGAAGATTATAAAAACACAGCACTTATAAAACTTGTTTACTGAGGAGCTGGAAGAAAGATGACCCAAAAAACTGTGGCAAGTATGTTCACATACAAAGTTATAGCATCTAATCAGAGTTGACGGTTTTTCCTAAGTTATGGTAAAGATTCAATAGAGGACTCAGATTCGATTCTAGCACCCACAAGGTATCTCGTTCTCCCATCTGTATTTTCAGCTCTAGGGGAATCTAAGGCCTGCTTTTGGCCTCTGGCCACCAGGCTTGAAGTGGTGTATATACATTTATTTCTTTTATTACATGTTTACTCATTTGGGTGTGTGTGTGCAGTTCATAGAAGTTCTCTTTCCACCATGTTACGTACCCAGGTCATCATGCTTGGTATTCTTGCCCCCTGAGCCATCTCACTGGTCCTTTTCTTAGGAACAAGTGTTGTCTTAGCAAGCATCTGACCCCGAATGACAAGTTTTGGGGTTTTTAATTTTGTGGTTTGCTTCCATGTGTACATATAGCACCTGTTTGCCCGGGGCCACAGAGGCCAGAAGCAGGTCTAGATCCCCTATTGCTGCAAACAGATGGGTGTGAGCTGCCACATGGGTGCTGGGAATGGAACCCAAGAGCACTGGAAGAGCAACCAGTGCTCTTAACCCCTAAGTCATCTCTACCCCAAGTATGAGGTCCCTAATATTGGACCAAAAATGAGGGGCTCCTGCTGTATGTCGTGCACTCCTCCTGACCATGTGAGAACTGAAGAAAGCCCGTGGGGTGATATGGATCAGACTTTTGTTAAAGCTCAGTTTGTTGCTCGTTAGCATCCTGTTTTCCTCCATACTGAGATTTTAGTGCAGTGGTCCTCGGCCTTCCTAATGCTTCGGCCCTTTAATACAGATCCTTATGTTGTGGTAATCCCTGACCAAAATTATTTTCATTGCTACTTCATCACTATGATTTTGCTGCTGTTGTGAACCGTGATGTAACCATCTGATATGTGACCACCAAAGGGTCTTGGCCACCAGGACCACTGATTTAGAGGGTAAATAAAAAGTGACGAGGCCTCCTACGTCTAACTCTCTAGCATTCCAACTAGGTTGTTCACTTGCCTTTTCAGCATGTGCTGTAAATGGGTCCAGAATAGTTGCTTTCTCTGTGTTCCTATTAGTGATCATCAGAGTAGATACTCCGTGATACTTGATAAAGAAAGGAAAGATAAAAAACTAAATTGTGAAAAGAAGGTGCCTTTGAAGTACTGAAATATTGTTGTCTAAACAAAGGTGTGCTATTCTTTTTTTTTTTTTTAAAGATTTTATTTATTATGTGTACAGTGTTCTGCCTGCACTCTTAAAGAGGGCACCAGATCTCATTATAGATGATTGTGAGCCACCATGTGGTTGCTGGGAATTGAACTCAGGACCTCTGGAAGAGCACTCAGTACTCTTTAACCTCTGAGGCATCTCTCCAGCCCAAAGGTGTGCTATTCTAAAAGAATGATTTATGTGTTTTTTTATTTTATTTTATTTAGACATTTGCTGCTTCTTTTAGGCTTGTCTTTTGCATCTGTTCAGTTAGCTTGTTTTATTGGGTTGGGATGGAAGCCAATCCTTTGTACATGCTGGGTAAGAGCTCCACCACTAACCTAATTCAGCCCCTGGATTTTGGTTTTTGCCCCCCTTGCCCCACTCTACCCCTTTCAGAAGAGTTGGAGATCTTAATTAAGATTTTTCTTTCTTAAGATTTGTTTTTATTATGCTGTGTTTGTGCATTTCTTTGTGTCTGCCACATGTATGTGGGTCCCATGGAGGCCAGAAAAGGGTTATCAGACCCCTGGAACTGGGGTTACAGGTAACTGATGTAGGTGATGGGACCTGAACTCAAGTCTTCTGCAAGAGCAGCAAGCCCTTTTCACCACCAAGTCATTTCTTCAGCCCCAAGATTCTTTAATATAAACTTGCAGCACAGTGGTTAGTAGGAAGAGAGGCACTCTGGGAGCGTGGGTGTGGACTCTCTGGGAGGCAAATGCTTTCTCTTCTCTCATAGATAACCAGGGCTTCAAAGCAAACTTATTTGACTGATACTAATAATAATATAACAATAAGCAAAAAAAGAAATTTAACCTAGTTGCTTTTTGTTGTTTTGTTTTATGAAACAGGTAGCTTTGCAGTTTGGGGAGGATTGTTTTCCATGATTGACTGTAGTATGGTTCAGATAAGAGGCAAAGAAGATCCGTGGAACTCCATCACTAGTGGTGCCTTAACAGGAGCCATCCTGGCAGCAAGAAGTAAGTGAGCCTCGATTTGCTGTTTATGTTGCCTTCTGTAGCACTGAGGATTGGACCTGGGGCCTTAGACATGGTGAGCAGGCACTTTACACAGAACTGTATCCTCAGCCCATTAAATAAACCATCATTTGGACATACTAGTGCAAGTCAGGATTCAGAGCGACCTCATCTCCCCTTAATTAATGAAACCTGTCTTAATCCTAGCACTTAAGAGACAAAGGCAGGCAGATCTCTGAGTTCGAGGCCAACCTGTTCTATGGATCGAGATCCAAAACAGCCGGGACCATACAGAGAAACCCTGTCTGGAAAAACAAAAACAAAACAAACAAAAAATAGTGAAATCTATAATATATGAACTGAGAATTGCCTGATTTGGTATATTTGTGGTAATATGAAAGTACTAGTAAAGGACTAGTTTTTAAAGTTTATTATTATTACTACAGTATTTCTTTATATGTGGGTAGGCACCTGTGCTAAATGAGGTCAAAGGACAATTTTCAGGAGTTACTTTTCTCGTTCTACCACCTGGGTTCCAGGAATTGAATTCAGTGCCTATACCTACTGATTGCATCTCACCAGAGCCCTGCTCCTTTGCTGATAGGGTCTTGTGTAATCCAGAATGGTCTTGAACTCCTCCTTAGCTCAGAATGGCCTTGAATATCTTATCTTCTTGCTCCTGCTCCTCAAATTCTGGGATTATACTGTGACCCCTGGAGGACATAAATTTTTGCTGGTGGATTACAGTGGTTCAGAGCACTGACCAGTTAGTTCCTGTGTGACTGGTAGACTGCCATACTCTCCATGCTGTAGTTTCATGAGATCCTTGAATTGATCCTACCTGCCACTTACAGCTCTTAGGCATAAAGATCATCCTCCTGACCTACAGGACAGAGTGCAAAGCAGAGTTTCTTTGGGCTTAGACTAGAAGTTTTCAACTTTTTCTTGTAAAAGTCCAGGCATTAGTAGTAAATTAATTTTCTGTTACATTAGAGTGTGTGTGTGTGTGTGTGTGTGTGTGTGTGTGTGTGTGTGTGTGCGCGCGCGCGCGCGCGCGCATTTGCACAGGCTGCATGTGGAAGTGTGGAAGTCAGGACAACTTGTGGAATGGGTCTTTCCTTCTGTCCTGTGTGTCTTCTACTGAGCCATTTGGCTGTCCCAGAAATGAAAAATTTATACTTATGTACTATGTAATCTTGTTTGATGTTTTGTTGTTGTTGTTTTGAGACAGGGTCTTACTATTTAGCCTTGGCTTATCTGGAACTTACTCTCAAACTCATAGAGGTCTGCCTGCCTCTGCTTCTCAGTGCTGGAATTAAAGTTGTGAACCACCCCACTAGGGCACTATGTGATCTGATGCTGTTAAGGCATGCAAGCAAGAACATGGCTTTGTCCAATATACCTTTTATATTGGTTGCTTTTCTGTTGATGTGATAGACACCATAAGCAAGACAGAATGTAGAAGGAAATGTATTGGGGGCTCACAGTTTGGGGGGTTAGGATACTTGATGGTGGAGCAGCGGTAGTAACAGGTGGCAGGCAGGTGGCCGGAGCAGCATCCAAGAGCTTATGTCTCAGCCCACAAGCAGGAGGCAGAAGATGGCACAAGTCTTTTGAATTCTAAAAGCCCACCTTCACTGGCACACCTCAACTTGACCACACCCCCTAATCCTTTCCAAAGGGTTCTACCATCTGAGGACCAAGTATTCAAACATATGAGCCTATGGAGGCCATCTCATTCAAACTGTCACAGCTTTGTTTAAAAAGCAGCCCTTGTTTGCTGACAGTGGGTCTTGGACGGTGGAAGAGTTTGAGAATAAGAGAAACATATAACTATCTGGATAGCCCTTTCCTTTAAAGTAATCTTTGTTACTAATGTCTTCAGATGGACCGGTAGCTATGGTTGGGTCGGCTGCAATGGGAGGCATTCTCCTAGCTTTAATTGAAGGAGCTGGTATCTTGTTGACAAGATTTGCCTCTGCACAGTTCCCCAATGGTAAGTCCTTTTTCTCCTTAATGCTCTTGGGTTCACACATGGGAATGGTTTCCTGATATTAAGAAAGAAAGAATGTTTGGTAAAATGGAGTAGTTTGTGATTTTGGTTTTTCAGGACAGGGTTTCTCTGTGGCTTTGGAGGCTGTCCTGGAACTAGCTCTTGTAGACCAGGCTGGTCTCCAACTCAGTGGGTTGATCTAGATGCCTTATTCACTTTACATTCTATTTTTTAATCATTACTTCTGCATTTGCAGAAGTAATCTTAACAGTGGCCACATTCTAATTTTATTGTTTAGTTTTTGATCATTTTAGTATAAGACAGAGTTAGACAAGAGATATGCTTTTGGCCAGGCATGACACAAGCCAGTAATCTCAGCACTTAGGAGGTGGAGGTAGAAGGATAAAGGTTCAAGGCCAGCCTGTGCTACATAACCAATTCAAAACCAACTAGGGCTACATGAGACTGTAAGAGAGAGATGGGATGGGTGGTGTTCTTTTAGGAGTTGAACAAGGGGCACAGGAGATGTGGCTCCGCTCTTAAGAGCACTGACTGTTCTTCCAGAGGAGTGGAGTTAGATTCCCAGCACCCACATGACAACTCACAACTGACTGTAACTCCTGTTCCATGGGATCCATTGCCCTTTTCTGTCCTTGGAGGGCATGAGGCATACATATAATACAGACACACATACGGGCAAAACACTGATACACATAATAATAAATAAATAATTTAAAACAAAGTTCAGGGTCATCTTTCTTTGGTTACTGTCTTAGTTAAAGTTACTGTTGCTGTGATGGACACCATAACCAAAGCAACTTGGGGAGGGAAGAGTTTACACAGCACTGTCTATCACTGAAGGAAGTCAGGACAGGAACTCAAGGCAGAATCTGGAGGCCAGAGCTGATGCAGAGGCCCTTCCCCAGCAATTACTAATTAAGAAAATATATTACATCTGGGTCTTACGAAGGCATTTTTCCCACTTAAAAAAAAAAAAAGCAACTTATTTTTTCTGTATGAGTGCTTTGTCTGCATGTATTCTTGCATGCCAGAAGGTATCAGATCCCATTAAATACGGTTGTGAGCCACCATGTGGTTGCTGGGAATTCAACTTAGGACCTCTGGAAGAGCAGCCAGTGCTCTTACCCACTGAGAGCCACCTCACCAGCCATATGGAGGCATTTTCAATTGAGGTTCCCATCTCTCCAGTGACTCTGTCAAGTTGATGTTAAACTAGCACAGGAGGGGGGGACCTCGGTTGATAAAATACTTGTTTAGATAATGAACAGTGATATGGAAGTACAAGCCAAGTAAACCCTTCCCTCCCCCAAGTGTCTTTTGGTCATGTTTCATCATAGCAATAGAACCCCTAACTAGGACACCTCCTTTTAGATGGCTCTAACTTGTGTCAAGTTGACATAAAACTAGCCAGGACAGCTACATAGCAAATTTTGATGCTAAACTGGGCTATGTCAAAAACAAAACAAAAACCTTTTGTCCTCGTTGTTGTTGTACCCAGGCTTTCTTTTGGAAATAAAACTGTAAATTTTGTTGTATAAGAAGCTGGGGGGCATCTTCCCATTTCAGATCTTGTTTTTATTGGTTTTGTTCTTTATCTTTTTTTTTAAATTTCTTTATTTGGTTTTTGAGATCATTTTCACACTTGTTATTAAAGTTGGATTAGTGAGTTCTTTTAAACATAACTAAGGGGTGGTAGCTTAGTGGTAACCCTTTACCACTGCTTTGCAGAGGCCATGGGTTTACCCCTTGTGCAGCCAAAACAGCAATAAGAACATACCTAAGGCCATTTTAAATTTTGTCAATGTAATTTTAAATGGATACTAAAATATGTGTCAGTATGGGCTGGAGAGATGGCTCAGTGGTGAAAAAAGCACTTGTTGCTCTTGCAGAGGACTTAAGTTCAGTTTCTAGCATTCACATTGGGGGGCTCACAATTTTCCTTAAACTTTTTAAGAAATGTACCCAGAGGGCCTGGAAAGATGGCTCAGTAATTAAGAGCCCTTTGCTCCTTTTGCAGAAGACCAAGGTTTTGTTCTCAGTGCACACATGGTAGCTCACAGCTACCTGGAACTCCACTCCAGCCTTTCTGGCTTCCATAATCTTCTGCACACTGGTGCACACACCACGTGTACACATACTCGTAAATTTTTTTAGCTATATTAAGAAACAGTAGAGTTTTGTTATTGTTGTTTTTGTTTTCTTCCGGTCTTGATCCAGGAAACTTAATATAGCAATTGCTTTAAACAGTACTACTTCTGGGGCTGAGTATGTAACTCAGGTGGTAGAGTATTTGAGTAGCATACACAAAGCTCTGGATCCACTCTTAAGCAACACATAACCTGGGGTGGTACGCACACTTGCACCTGTAATCCTAGCAGTTAGGATGAAGGCAGGAGGGTCAGGAGATCAAGCAAGTTGAAGGCCAGCCTGATCTAAGGGAGACCACCTCTCAAACAAAACAAAACCCCACTAGTTTTTCTGTTATGAATCCCTCTTACTTTCCTGACTGTCCATTCTGGAACACCTGGGAAGCCGGTCAGTCCTGTGGTCAGACCTCTGGTGGAACTCATCAGATCTTTATAAAGAAATTCCAACAATAATTGTGTAGCAGTAACTTTTAAGTTGATTTGTTTCTTTTCTACAGAGGTCTACTTTTTAGTTAGATGTTTTTGGTTTTTTTCAAGACAGGGTTTCTCTGTGGCTTTGGAGGCTGTCCTGGAACTAGCTCTTGTAGACCAGACTGGTCTTGAACTCACAGAGATCCACCTGCCTCTGCCTCCTGAGTGCTGGGACTAAAGGCTCTCGCCACCAACGCCCGGCTAATCGATGCTATTTTAAAAATCCCTTTTACATCTCAATTGCAGGCCCTCAGTTTGCTGAAGACCACTCGCAGTTGCCTTCAAGCCAGTTACCGTCCTCACCCTTTGGAGACTACCGGCAGTATCAGTAGGACTTCTTTCCCAGGATTCCTGTCACTGGGTGGACTGCAGTTCAGTAGGATTTCAGAAGATCAAGTTACAGTCTGTTTAAAGCCCTAGGTGGGGCAGTGGTGGCCAAGCGGGCCACGAAGAGACATTCACACATTTTTCTATTTAAAAGAGACTCAGAGGGGAGAAAAGATACTAAGTTTATTTATTCACACTTGGGTTGCATTTGTGATCAAAATAAATGTCTAATACCATTTCAAGAGCGTACATGTACATGTGCTTAGAAGATAAAGGACCAAAGGGCAAATAACAGTGAAACTCGACCGTCATTTCCTTCAGGACTTCTCCGCCTGGTGTCTTGTGTACAGTTATTCAGACAATAAAAGGTTCCTGGGACTGACATTTCCTTTTAAAGTTACAGAGTTCTGCCTTTCATAGTGAGCATACTTCAGATAATGCATGTTTATGCCAACCCCTCATCTTACTTGAAATGAATTATATGTGGGAAGGATGATGCAACCCACATGAATCATTCCACAGGGAAAGAATTGAAAGATATGCCCACGGGTTCATCCTTTGCTTTGAAAACAAAATACTGTCTTGGTTTAGCAGATGCTGGATAGCTGGGCATAGTGCATACCTTTAATCTGAGGCACAGGCAGGTGGATTTCTATGAGTTCCAGGCCAGTTGGCTATATGAAGAGACCCCCATCTCAAAAAAAGATGCTGGATATAAAACTTAGGGCTACCATCTCTTGATTCCTGGTCATCCAACGACTTGCTTCCAATACACCCAGCTCTATGAGAATAATTCTTAGTGGGGAGTATAATGTGTGCTTGAAAATATATGATGGCTCACACCTGTAAACCTATCACTTGAGAGGCTGAGGCAGGAGGATCCAAATTCAAGGTCAAACTTGACAGCAATCTCAAAAAATCAAAGAGAAAGAAGAAAACACTTGTTTTAATTGTTTCGTGTTCCCCTGCAGCTGATTTTCAAGCTGTACCATAGGGTCTGGTGGGGCTAGAGCTTATCCAGCCTTACTGAATAGCATTCTTACTTGTGTTAGGGGTGACATGGCCTTCAGAAGGCATGCTGTGAACATGGCTGCCTTTCAGCTCAAGACTACACTTAGTGCTTAACTACTCCTTCTACTTTAATTATTTGTCAGTTGTTTTTATGTGTGTGTGACAATATATAAAATAGTATTTATTATTGTAGACATTTGTGTGTTTCAGTGGCTTGGAAATACAAGCACAATGTTTAACCCCTAGCATTCTGTGCCCAGAGTGTTACCTGCCTGGCTGGTGGTTGTAATCTCAGCACTTGGAAGGCAGAGGCAGGAGGATGGTGAGTGTAATGGCAGCCTGTCTCAAAACAGTGAAAGCTATCATCCGTAATATATATAAACTCTATAGCATTAAACAGTACTTTCTTCTATTCTCTACCCTCAACCATGATAATCCACACTCTGAATTTGCCTATCTGAGGTCCCTCATATGTATGAAATCATACAGACTCAATTGGTACCTGTCTTAATTCACTTAGCATAATGTTTGCAGGTTCATTCATCCTGGGAATTCTTTAATTTTGTGTCTGAGTATTTCCTTGTGTGCGTATACCAACTGATTTTATTCATTCAACTATTGATGGTTTCCAACTGTTTCCAACTTACAGCTATGGTGAATTATACCCCAGAGTACAAATATCTATTTGAGTTCTCGTGGATATTTACCTAAGGCTAAGATTGCTGGGTCATGTGATAGTTCTATCTTTAACTCTGAGGAGCTGCCAAACTGTTTTCCACAAGGGCGCTGCACCATTTAACTATTCCCAGGAGCAATGAAAGAGGATTCTCGTTCTTCACTTCCCTGCCAGGCCCTCTTGTCTGCCAAGCAAGCATACAACCACTGAAAACATCCCAGCCCCTCTCCTTTTAAAGAAACTTTGTAGCTGGGTGGTGTTGGTGCACACCTTTAATCTCAGCACTGAGGAGGCAGAGGCAGCCTGGTCTACAAAGTGAGTTCCAGGACAGCCAGGGATGTTACACAGAGAAACCCTGTCTCGAAGAATCAGCTGTGATTAACAAGATACCAAAGTGAAGCCTTTGCTTTGCTGGTATACTCAATGCTGGTTGGCTGGAGCTAAGAAAGTGGTGATCACGAGACCAGTAGGGGCTGGTTGGATGGCTCAGTTGTTGAGAGTATGGGCCACTCTTGCTGGGTTTGGTTCCCAGCACCCATATGGCAGCTGAACTCTAATGCCAGCTGTAAGGGATCTGACACCCTATTCTGGCCTCCTCAGGCACCAGGTACCCACATGTACATTCATGCATACACATGCATTCATGCAGGCAAACATTTATACACATGAAATAAAAATCTTTAATAAAAAAAAAAAAAGGCCCCGGGCGGTGGTGGTGCATGCCTTTGATCCCAGCACTTAGGAGGCGGAAGTAGGCAAATCTCTGAGTTCGAGGCCAGCCTGGTCTTACAGAGTGAGTTCCAGGACTATACAGAGGAATCCTGTCTCCAACCCCCTGCCCCCCAGGGAAAAAAAAGAAAGAGACCAGCATTGTTAAGATGAAATCTTCTGGGAAGTGTTTTCCGGAAGAACACAGAAGCTGTGTTGCAGAGTGGCCAAGGTTGTACCTTGCACTGGCAGCCAGACTTGATAGTATAAGAGTCATCCAAGTGGTACTGGTTTTGAAGGCATGAAGGGGTTATGGAGCACTTGTCACTGGGAGAGCCCAGGAGAGGCCATTGGTGAAGGTGCAGCATCAGTGGCAGCTGAAGACTCAGGACTGAGAGGTCATGCAGAGAAGTTGAGGCTTGGCAGAATGAAGAGAGCCTAGGAGAGGCTCTTGGTGAAAGTGCAGTCCAGGTGCAGCAGAAGACCCTGGCATTTTGGAACATCAGTATCATGGGTTGACCACCCAAGAGCCGCAGCAGGTGTGGAGTGGAGCCTTCCAGAGCTTAGATGACAAGCCGTGTGTGCTGCAGAGGTTGGAGCTGAAGAAGTGATCCAAGCCCTTTGGAGGAGCCCAGAGGATCCTGAGTGAATCCCAGACATTGTATGTTGAGTTATTTGTACGACTGGAGTTTATTTTGCTCTGTTCAGATTGTGACTGTGCCCTGGTTCTTCTCTCTTGAAGTGAGAAGGTATTTAATTTAACTCTGCTATGTACAGGAGCCCATAACTGAAAGACTTGGAACTTTTAAAAGAAGTTTTTGGATTTTTAGAGAGATTGGTTATTTGAAAGAGCCTGAAGTTTTAATGTGTTTGAATTTGAGAGGACTATGAGACTTTTAAAGTTACTTAAGTCATGTTGTGGTATTAATGTGACATCTTGGGAGATGAGTGAGAAAGGAAGGATTCTAATTGGATAATAATGTGTTTGTGGGTCAAGTTGACAAGGGACCAGTAACTCTAAGAAAATAGTTTTAGCCGGGTGGTGGTGGCACATGTCTTTAATTCCAGCACTCAGGAGACAGAGACAGGCGGATCTCTGAGTTCAAGATCAGCCTGGTCTACAGAGTGAGTTCCAGAACAGCCAGCACTGTTTCACAAAGAAACCCTGTCTTGAAAAACAGCCAAAAAAAAAAGTTTTATTTTAGATAACTATAGACTTAAAAGGTTATAAAGCCAAAAGTTTCTGGTATATGTTTCATTCAGATTCAGTTATATTAACAACTTATGGAACCATAAAGCAATGATCAGAAAAAAAAATTCACCTTATAGTTATTAAACTATGGGCTTTTTGGTTCTCTCTCTCTCTCTCTCTCTCTCTCTCTCTCTCTCTGTCTCTCTCTCCTGTTTCAAGATCAAATGCAGGACCCCAAATTCCATTAGTTCATGTCATGGTTTCTTAGTCTGTAGTCATTTTCTTAGTCTTTCTTTGTCTTTTGTGAACTTGGTGCCTTGAAAAAAAAAATGTTTTTAAAGACTTACTTGTTGTTTTGTTTTGTTTTATGGTTGTTTTTTTTTTTTCTCTGTGTAGCTTTGGAGCCTGTCCTGGCACTCACTCTGGAGACCATGGTGCTTCAAACTCTCAGAGATCCGCCCGCCTCTGCCTCCCGAGTGCTGGGATTAAAGGCGTGTGCCACCAACGCCTGGCAAGACTTACTTGTTTTATATGCACAAGTGTTTTGCCTGCACATATGTATGTGCACCATGTGCATACCTAGTGCCCTCAGAACCTAGAAGAGGGTGTCATTTGTGATCCTTAGAACTGGAGTTACAGATGATTGTGAGCGACCATGTGGGTGCTGGAAACAGCCTGAGTCCTCTGAAAGGGCACCAAGTGCTGTAACCTCAGAGCCAGCTGTCCAGCTCCAATGCTTTAAACATTTTTTAAATGTATGTGTGTGTGTTTGCAAGTATGTATATGTACCGTGTGCATGCCTGATGTTTGCACAGGCCAGAAAAAGACATTGGATTCCCTGGAACTGGAATTACCAACAGCTATGATTCACCATGTCAATGCTGGTAACCAAACCTAGACCCTCTGTAAGAATAGAAAGTACTCTTAGCCAATGAAACATTTCTCCAGCCCTGACTTTTATGCTTTATTTATTTATTTGGATTTATTTGTTTGCTTGTTTGGGACAGGGTCTTTCTATGTAATCCTGGCTATTCTAGAACTTACCAGGTAGACCAGAAACTCCTACCCCTGCCTCCCAAGTGCTGGGGTTAAAGGCATGTGACACCGTACCTGGCTCATTTATGCTTTGGATTTTTTCTTTTTCTTAGATTTATTCTATGTGTGCGAGTGTTTTGTCTAGGTGCATGTGTGTGCACTACTATCTAGTGTCGTCTGTCAGGGGTAAGAAGAGGGCAATAGATCCCTTGGAACTGTAGTTACAGATGGGTGTGAAGTCTGTGCTGGGGTCTAAGCCATGTCCTCTGCAAGTACTAGTACTCTTAACCACTGAGCCATCTCTCTTGTGAAGAACAGTAATCTGTTGTTACAGGGCAACTCTGCTTGGATTTGGTGTGTTCTCATGTAGAAATGTAGAAAGTGTAGAGATGCTTATTGGGGGCCAGTGGTACCTGTGTTAACTGTTTGCTTATACAGACATCTTCCAGGCACCTATAATGGCATAAATTCTGTTTTTTCCCTTGTAACTAATGAGAGTAAGATTATTTGAGATGTGAATATATCGTTTTTCACTTTTGCCTATTACCTTTGATATGTGCTATTATAAATACAGTTTACTATTTACTTCGTTCTTTCTACATGTACTAATTAGAATTCTCTTTTTCATTGCTTTTTTTTTTTTGGTTTTTTGAGACAGGGTTTTTCTGTATTGTTTAGGAACCTGTCTTGGAACTCGATCTGTAGACCAGGCTGGTCTCGAACTCACAGAGATCTTCCTGCTTCTGCCTCCCCAGTGCTGGG